GAGTTCAGAATGCAACTCAAGAAGTGTTAAGGTTTATGATTATGGAAATGTCTCTAAAACCTCAGGCAGTCACAAAGAATATTCTTTTTTTAAATTAACTTTGCTAATGTTATTGGTGTCTTCACTGGATGTATTTGACTGCTGTGGACTTGAGTTGGGAGGAGAATGTCTCTCCCAGAATGCGACAGGGAAGAGGATGGGGTGAGTGACCCTGGTGAGACTGCATCGTCCCTTCTAGGGAGGCCAGGGTCCTCTCCCCTGCCTGGGAACGTGCAAAGCCAGGGCACGGGGGCGAATCTGGCTCACTTCCGGGAACACCGACAAACCCAGCCCTGGCTTCTCTGAGCCTCCACCCAGAGTCACGCGGACAGAGACAGGTGACAGGTACAGGGATGAGGATGCTGGCTCAGATGGGAGTCGGAAGCCTCAGGACATGGAGGGCTTACAGACCCTTGCCACCTGCTACCTGGAAGAGTTGGAGCCTGGCAGCCTTCACCTGAGCTCACCTGCTTCCTGGTCACCCTGGAGACCATGGACGGGGGTCCTTGTGAAGGAGAGGGACAGCAGTAGAAGATGCGCCGGGTGACTGCTCTCCAGGGGCCCCTCATCCTTTCCCTGCCCCCCACCCCCCACCCCATGCAGCCCAGGAGGGCGTTGCATCCTCAGACCATGGAAACCACTAGTTCTGTCCCCCAGGAGACCTGGCTGTGTGTGAGTGGTTGTCCCTTCTGTCCTCCCCTCCTCTCCCCTCCCCTCCCCGAGGCACAGAGAGAAGGGCGGGATCCATGATGCCCACCACGGAAACAGAAAAGAGAAAGTGTTTTATATATGGTACTTATTTAATATCTCTTTTTAATTAGAAATTAAAACAGTTAATTTAATTAAAGAGTAGGGTTTTTTTTCCAGTATTCTTGGTTAATATTTAATTTCAACTATTTATGAGATGTATCTGTCCCTCTTTCTCGCTCTCTTATTTGTACTGGTTTTTGTGTATAAAATCCATCTTTCCAACCTCTCTCTCCCTGCTTGATGACTGACATTGGCTTGTCCCAAGCAGGTATTTAATTTGCTAACACTCAGCTCTGCCTTCCCCATCCCATCCCCCTGGCTCCCCACCACACATTCCTTTGAAATAAGGTTTCAATATACATCTACATACTATATATATATATATTTGGCAACTTGTGTTTGTGTGTATATATATACATATATATATATGTTTATGTATATATGTGATTCTGATAAAATAGACATTGATATTCTGTTTTTATATGTAAAAAACAAAACAAGAAAAAATAGAGAATTCTACATACTAAATCTCTCTCCTTTTTTAATTTTAATATTGTTATCATTTATTTATTGGTGCTACTGTTTATCCGTAATAATTGTGGGGGAAAAAGATATTAACATCACGTCTTTTGTCTCTAGTGCAGTTTTTTCCGGATATTCCATAGTACATATTTATTTTTAAACAACAACAAAGAAATACAGCTATATCTTTAAAAAAAAAAGAATTTTGTATTAAAGAATTTAATTCTGATCTCAAAGCTCCTCTTGGTCTCCTTCAGACTTCCTCTGCCCCTCCCTTCTCCCTTGGGGACCTGGTGTTGTCTGAGGTTTGGGAAGAGGTCCTGGTTTGTGGGTCGATCTACCTCCTGGTGCTGGGGGCTTGAGTCCTTCCATTCTAGCTATGTCGGTTCTGGGGGAGATCTCATCTCCCTGTGCCTTGATATGGAAGGTGGGGTGCTCAGGGAATGGATGGAGGGGGATGCTGGGCTCAGAGGCCAAGAGCCTTTGCGGTGTGTCAAGCTTGTCAAAGAAGGGACTGACCATTGTATTCAGCTGCATGGTTATCTTGCAGCAGGCAACTAGGAATGGGAAAGGGGTACTATTTGGAGGCTGTGACCCTAATGCTAGTTTAGTTTTGTGGGATGTGTGTTGGGCTCCTTGGGTGGTGAAAGAGTCCCATAGCTCTGGTTGCTGGTGGTAGGTCCCTGCCCACTCCTCTTGCTGCACAAAGCCACACCTCCTGTGCCGGTCCCTGGAAGGTGGCATCTGTCTGCGTCCTCAGCGTGGGTGACCCATGCTTCCATAGCCTCTCCCCCTGGCCTTCGTTTATTCTTGCAGAGCACAGAAGGGTTTGGATAAATACTGGGCTGTTGGAGACTCCTGGCTGTTGCAGACTTGTGGGGAGATGTGCTGAGGGTGCTGTGGCACTGTGGGTGATGGGGACAGACCTCAGCCATGTGGTAAGGACAGGTCCTGCTCTTGCGGAGGTCTGTCTGGGAAGCACTTCTCCACCACTCACTCCCCTCATCGCCAGCTCAGGTGCTGCAGACCCCAAATCCATAAACTGCCTTAGGGAGTGTGTCTTGGCTGCCTTCACCCTGGGACGTGATACCTGACACCCACAACTTAAAGAGGAGAGGTTTATTTTGGCTCACAGTTCATAGAGGTTTCAGTCCATAGTGGGCTGGCTCCAAGGCAGGGCAGCATAGCAGAGAGGCCTGGCAAAGGAGAAATAGCCCCTGGCATGGCAGCAGGAAGTGGAAAGAGAGATCAAGTGAGGAGGAGGGCCGTCCTGTCAGATGTGCCCCCCTCCCCCCCAGTGACACACTTCCTTCAAACAGGCTTCACTTCCCAGCATCACATTTAGCTATAAACCCATAGTGGACAAACCCACTAGTGATTACCGCATCTCTATGATCCAGTCACCTCCCCAAATCCCACCTATGAGCCCATGTGGCTTTATGGGACCATCTAGACATAATCCATAACGTACCACTTTCTAGCCCCTTCAAGAACAGTACTGGTTAATAGAAATATAGTATGGGGCTGAGGAGATGGCTCAGCAGCATAAACACTGCCTGCCAAGCACAAGGTCCCAAGTTTGATCCCTGGTGCTGCATGCTGTGCCAGCCCTGGAACCCCCGGTGTGATGGCACAGGCCTATAATCCCAGTGCTGGTGAGGCTGCGACAGGAGGATCACTATGAGTTGGAGCTGTGTAGTAAGACCCTGTCAAAAAAAAAAAAAAAAAAGTATGAACCACAAACATAATGCGTTTGCTTGTATGTCTTTGTATGGTGCTAGCTATGGAACCTGTGGCCTCACACACGTAAAAGACGTACTCTGCCACTGAGCCACACCCCCAGCCCGTGTATGCATCATTTAAAATTTCTCTAGGAGCCAGACTCTTGTTTAAAAAAAAAACAACTTTATTTATTTTTGGTACCAGGGATAGAACTCAGGACCCTATACTTGCTAAGCAGGTGCTTACGCTGCTGAGCTATCTCCCCAGCCCTTTAAAGAAAATCATTTATTTATGTATTTATTTATTTATGAAAATTTAGTACAGAGTCTTGCTACCTAGCTCAGACTTGTAGTGATCCTCCTGTCTCAGCCTCCCCAGCGCTGGGATTGCAGGCGTGTGCCATCACATCTGGTTTTGATGGCTGGCACAGCACGGCATGTGGAACTGGGGATCGAACCCAGGTCCTTGTGCTTGCCAGGCAGCTGCTTAGATCGCTGAGCTATCTCCCCAGCCCAGGAGCTAGACTCTTAACTGGTAAAGAAAAAACAGACAAATGCTAATAATATGTTTTATTTAATCCTAACATAACTAAAATATCACTTTTGACTTTAATGAATAAGAAAATTGGTAAGCAGACCTATTACTTTTTGTTGGCACTCAGTTTTCAAATTTTGGTGTGAACTCTATGCTCACACTGTCTCCCAAATTGTTGTAGCTGCATTTTGCGACCTTGATGTATACCCGTGGCTGGTGGTGATCACTTCAGGCTGTGTAGCTCTCAAACGAATTACACCTTTTGTCTGTCTCCCCTACTAGAGAGAGCGGAGATTTGCGTCTCTTTTGTTCACTGGGTCTCCAGCTCCTAGGACAGTCTGGAGGATCATACATGTTCAATCAGTGTTCGTGGGATGGCTGATGTCAGGCCCGCAGCCTGGGGCTGATTTCCTTGGAGGGCTCAGGAGAGGTTGGGGGCTGCCGTGCTGGGCAGGTGGGGGCCTGCGCAAGGTCCTGCTAGAAGTCAGTGCAGGGTTGGCCGGTGTGCTTGGGGAGCAGAGGGTCCTTCGGCCAGGCGCCAGGGGATGGGGCTGCAGATGGGCTCAGTATTTATTATTGCTCTGCAGATGAGAAGCGGGAGTCCCAGGGAGGGTGAATAACTGGCCCAAAGTGAGTACATGGCCCAGCCGGAATTTAAACCAGCTTTCCTGACTCCAATTCTAGTGCTCATTCGCTGCCACGCCACAGCTGCCCCAGGCTAGGGCAGGACATTAACAAATAAGAATGAGTTGTCTAGACTGAGAAAAACAGGCAGAAGAAAGTGGGTCAGGGGGAGGATGCCCAAACCCAGGGCTGAAATCTGACTTTGCTGGGCTGGTAAGGCAAGGCAAGGCAAGGCAGGCGCTGTCTGGGGTGAGGGGACTGGGCGGGGTGGGAGGGGAGGAGGGGGTGATTCGAAACCTAAGACTGCAAGAGATTTCGACATGTGGCCTCCGAGGAGAGTCTTGAAACAGACTATAGGGGAGAGATGAAAATGTTATACTCAGCTGTATCAGACTCATGCAAGACCCCCACCCGGACCTTCCTGAAGGTCTTTCAAGGCCTAGAGAAGCCCTGATCCAGGCTCATGGCCCACCTTCTTGTCACCTTGCTCTTCCTGAGACCCTTTCTCTTTGTTCCAAGGACCCACCTCCCTGGTCATGTCCCTCCAAGGCTTGCAGAGTCCTAGATTCTCCTGGAGTCCCCACTGTCACCCCACCACCACCACATACCTCCCTCTCAGGGATCCTCCTGCACAAAGGGTTGGGTAGATCCTACAGAACTCGGTCATTGTGGGTCCACTGAGCAGGTTAGGACTACAAGGGTG